GCTGGTATGTCTGCTTCAGCGCTTCATTCTCATCTTTACTGAAGACAGCACTGGCTGCAAACCTGAATTGAGGTTGTTCTGGGTGTTGTTTGAGGAAGCAGAGGTGTTCTCTGAGCAGGTTGGGCCCCTCTCCCAGGTGCCTCTTTCGTGTGGACGGGTGCTGCAGCGTCGCCTCGGTTTCCTGGTGCCCGCACTCCTGCGTGGTGCAGCACAAAGCTCTGCACGCCGTGGGCGTGAAGGGCTGCTGGGGTTTTAGAACAGAACAAACCAGACCCGAGGCTGCTGTTGGGTTCGTTTGGGGGGAGGAAATAGAACTACCACATTCAGCTGATAAGGGTGGTTACACACAGCCCTGGAGCCCAGCGGAGGGATGAGTGGGCACAGATAAGGTGGGGGGAGCTCTGGGGGGCTCTGATGGTGCTGCTGGGGCACACTGTGCCCACCCTGCAGGGATTAGGATCCAGATCTGATCCAGACACCCAACAGCCACAATCTCCCTGCCCTGTGGTGGTCAGAGGGGTTCCTGTGTGTGTTGTACCAGCCAGTGCTTGCAGACACCATCCAGCAATTCCCCTGCAACCTCTAGGATCATTTTTACCCCTGGATGTCCCTTGTGTTTGTGTTCCCAGCATCTGTCTGGGACAGGAGTGGGGTGGCAGAGGGCTCTGCTGCCATCCCCTCCTGCCAGGTGCCATCCCCAGGGAGCAATGCCCTTGGAGCAGACATTTCAGGGCTGGAGGTGAAGGAGGCATTTGAGCAATTCCCGATTGGTGACATAGCAAGGAGCAGTTCTCAAAGCTTGTGGGACCCATTTACTGTGTGAAGGTTAATTATGGAAACGCGCCGTGTCTGGGAGGACGTCCAAGAGCATTCCTCATTCCTGTCCATGTGCCCTGTCCATGTCTGTGCTGGCAGCTCCAGAATCTCTGCCCTCTGCTGAGTGGAGCTGGCAGCTGGAAGCAGGAGGTGCCCGTGGCTGTGTGGAGCTCTGTGTGCCCCCTGCCCCAAGAGCCCAGCTGGGTGGGCAGTGAGTTCCAGCTGTGCCCAGTGCTGGGAGGGCACTCTGGGGGCTTCCTCCAAACCCCCCTGGGAGGGTCTGGGGGTGGCCCTTGGCTGCTGTGGGAGAGATGCCCTGCTCAGGAAGGCAGCTCTGATTTCTGCAGGCAGAGTCAGTCCCTCTTGTCCCTTGGGCATGAGTAGGATACACCTTTCCCATGGGACACCTGCTTCAGCTCCTCACGTTCTCAAGCAGTGAAGGCACATCCCCCTGGTTCAGGAGAGGAGTTGGGACTTTCTGTCATTCCTGTAAAAAGCAGGCAAGAAACTTCTGCTTATAGCTGGGAAGGAAAGTCCCTGTCGTAGGCAGTTTTACTTTCAGGCAGGATGGAAAGAAATCACACCAACATGAAAGGAAAAAGAGCAATTTTCTCCCCTTGGTGCTGGGGCTGAAGCTTCCCCCGCAGTGCCAGGCAGCTGCTTCCAGCTTTCCATGAGGTAACATGTGAGCAATTTTGTGGTGGGGTTTTCTCCTCACACGCTAATTGGCTGTGTGGGACGTTTTATGGGGATTTGGAACCTTGCTGTGGGAAGCTGAGAGCCTGGCCTGGGACTTCTTGTCAGTTTTGATTGTTAAAGTGAAAGTGCAGAGCTGGGGTTCTGGGAAGTGGCTTTCCTGCCTGTAATTCTGCTGGCCTCCAGTGTTCCAGGTTGCTTATTTTAGAGCTTTTATAGAATGTCCTGGGCTTTTCCCTTTTTTCCCTGGTTCACGCCTGTTCCAGAGTGGGTGGATGGAGCACCAAAAGCACTTGAGAGAGAAATATCAGGCTCCAGACACTCACAGCCAGAAGCCATTCCTGCTGGAGTCACCAGTGGTTGCCCCAGAGAAATGCCACAGTGGAGTCACTGCAAGAAGGAGATTGGGGAACTTCGTCTTTTTTTCTCCACTTCAGTGTCGGTTTTCATCCTTTTCTTCTGGAACAATGGGAACATCTTCTCTTCCTTCATTTTTGATTTCCACCCCTTCCTGGGGGTGTTGGGAGGTCAGGCTGGAGGGGCTGAACCCACTCAGGGCATTTCTGATGGACCATGGTGGCCCTGGGGTTACAGTGTCTGCCCCTTGCTGGGTGCATGGGACAGCTACTGTGGAAACCTTTTCCTTGGGAAACACCATCCAGCCTCAGCAGCTGCTGGACAAGGGCAGAGGCTTTGCTGGGGGAGGATTCTTGGGTGGCTCACAGGATTGTGCACCACTGGGAGCTTTTTCCACTGAAGGTGTTGGTGCTGGTTTCCCCCATGGGGTTGTCCAGGCATTTCCTGAGGGCTCATCTCCCATGGAGCGCTTCCTCTGGAGCATGAGACATAATGGGGCTGCTGGTCTGCCTTCCCTGCCTGCAGTCAGGAAGCTGGTGGGATTTATCCCCTTCTTTGTCAGGGATGCATGGACTCTGCCTGTACCCTCTGCCTGCTCCTCCTGCTATACAACTGGAGTGGGATGATTTCTGCACCATTTAAAACACAGATCTCAAAGATATTGAGTTGCTATAAGCTCCTGGAAATTGTTTTCTGACCAATGGAGGCAAGGAGACCTCCTTTGTGCCCTGCTGAGGGTGGGTGGTGTGTTTTATGAGCCTGCATTGGACATCAGGGAATCCTGGCATCTGGGGGTGTTGGGGACCCATCTCTGCCACTGCTGCCTGGGGCTCAGGCTGAGCAGGGTGGAGGCTGGAGGGTCTCTGGGCAGCAATCCCTGGGCTCAGGGTGGATTCCCAGTGGAGGCTTCAGCCAGGGATGTGTGCTGGGCTCAGGTCCCATCACCCTGCCCAGCAGTGAGGCTCCCGAGAGGTGACAGGGAGGGCTGGGAACCCGGCTGGAATGGGTGACCCTGTGCCCAGCATCCCACGGTAGGAGTGTTTGCCTGCCCGGCCTTTCCTGCACTTCCCTGGGAAAGCACGTCCATGGGAAGGGTGGGAAGAGGAGGAAGCTGGCTGCTGGCTCCCTCTGGGACAGGACACTTGGAAACCTTTTCTGTGACAGCACTTTGTACATCAGCAGGACTCAGCCTGGGCTGGTCAAACATCCCCCTGCTCTAGGGGGCTTCTCCCTGTTGGAAGGGCTCTGGGGGGATGCAGGACTTGCCAGAGCAGGCAGAGCCTGGGAGCTGGCTGCTGGAGAGGAGAGGAGAGGAGGGGTGGAGGTTTAGGGACCTGGCCCCCCGCCAGCCCTGCGTGGGGAGGCGGCGGAGGGAAGGAAATGTCGTGCTCTGACTCCGCATTTCCACCCCGTGATGGGAGGCTGAGCCCAGTCCTGCACAGAGAGAGCATCCTGCTGCAGCCCTGGGCTCGGGCTGGGGTCACACTGGGTGTCCCCAGGCTCTGGTGTGGCCCTGGCCATGCTCTGGTACCAGCTGAGCCCTGCTGCAGGCAGGGGTAAGCTCAGCCACGGCCCTGCTCCCGCTGCCCTCCGCCAGACCCATCCCTGGGGCAGCATCCATGGCACAGGTGGGACATTGCTGGTTTTGCTCATGGCTTGGGGCACATGGAGCTGCAGTTGCTGGCTGGGATTGGCCCCGTGGAATTCCCACTGGGAGCAGAGTCGGGCAGGAGTGGGAACTGGCAGGTCCCTTGGCAGGGGCTGTGGGAAGTGGCTGTCCCTGGGTCCTGCCCACTCCAGGAGTGTGGGAGGGATCTGCTTCCAGAGCTGGCATGGGCAGAGAGCATTCCCAGGGACCACCAGTCTTGGTGTCCTCCTGCTGGACAGAGGCAGCCATGGGGGGCTCTCCTCGTGGGGTGTTGGGTTCTTTGGGAGGGATGTGGTGCTCCACATGGACCAGCTGACCCAGGATAGCTCCGGGGTTGAGTTCTCCACTGGGATTGCTGGGTCAGAGCCCTGTTGGGGGCAGGAGGGGTCAGCCCTGGGTTTTGGCAGGACTCAGGTCATGGTTAATGACAGCTGTGTGGTTTGGACCTGGATCCAGATGCTCATTCCAAAACTTCTTCCCAAAACTTGCCAAGTATTTGAGTCCAGGGCTTTGGCTTAGTCCTGTCCTGAACTGAGCTGCTTATTTGGAGCTTTTTTTTTTTTTTTTTTTTTTTTGCTTCTGTAAGTTTGGAATTGGGAATGCAAACTGTAGCCAGAGCTTTGGGCTGAGGCAGTGAGTGGATGGGGATGGAATCAGGGTATTCCAGTGCTGGGTGGGTCTGGCCTCAGCCCACTAAGTGCTTCCAGCAGGGACAGATCAGACCCTGAGGCTGCCAAGGCATTTTCTACCCCTGAGGTCAGATGTTGTCACCCTCAGCAGCAGAAATGTCATCGGGCCAATGGGTGCTGACACTTGGCAATGCCTTGCTGTGGCTGCAGGAACTCTGGGCTGTTTTCCCTCAGTTTCTCTAAACTGGAGGAATTTCCCAGGAAATACTGCTGGCTGCTGAATGGGCTCATCTGGGCGAGGGCTGATCCCTGTGTGAGGGGTGGGAGCCAGCTGGGCGAGGGGTGAGAACCCCACCAGGGACTTGGTGCTGACTGGGATGAACACCAGCTTGAAAGGAGAGGTGGGGAAGGCTGGGTGGTGGGAAGGAGGTGGGGAGGAAGAGCTCCTTTGTCAGCTTTGCTCAGGGATGTTTGCAGAAGTGATCAGCACTGAGCTTTGACAAGCTCTGAACTGATGATTACAAAGAAAGATCTTCCTCTCCTGCCTGGCCAAGAACTGTGTTTGGTTTGGAGGGCTCAGAAACAAAACGTTTCATCAGAAGGTTAAAACTGCATCTTGTGGCCCTGTCATTCAGGTGGCATCACTGTCACCTCCTGCTCTTTGCCCAGTGCTGGCAGAGAGCTGCAGCTGAGCTCTGTCTGCCCAGGACCCCTGGCTCTGCAGCCATGCATCTCCTCTGCTCTGTGCACATGGAACACGGGCTTGGGGTCAGGGCTCTGGGGGTGTGGGCTGTGTTCTCAGGGCGTTGCTGCTGCTGGCAGGGTGCTCAGGCTGGTTCTTTGCTTTCTTACAGAAATTGAAGCCAAGAAAGCGTGTGACTGGCTGCGGGCAGCGGGGTTCCCCCAGTATGCCCAGCTCTACGAAGGTGAGAGCTGCCTCCTGCCCTGACCCTGCTCTGTACCTGCCCAGAGCCTCCATCCCATCCAGATTCCAAGGGGGGCTGCAGGGACAGCGCCCACAGCTTCAGGGAGAGGAGGGGACAGAAGGGATTGCTCACTGATTATATGATTGTTACACTTGGAGCCCTTGGCCACGGCCTGGAGAACCAGCCAGTTAACTTCCCTGCATTCCTGAACTTTCCCCTTCAGGCAGGGCTCTGAGGAATCCTGGGGCGGCTGCTTTGGCCAAGGGCAGCCAAGCTTTGGAGAGCCATCAGCTCTCAAGTGATTCAGGGAGTGTTTGCCGTGGGTGGGAGCATAGGGGCAGCCAGTGTAGGTAATGTGGAGAGCGAGCATGTTCTCCCTCCTTCCATCCCTCCCCACTCCCACAAGCCCTGCCCTGCTCCAGCCTGTCCGGAGCGCTCAGCCTGGATCACACCATGTTCCTACTCCCAGCTCCTGTGCCAGGCGCCCGGGGCGGTGGCAGGGTGGCTGTGGTGGTGGCTCACACAGCTCAGCTGGGTGTGTTTGGAAGCCCCGGGGGGATGCTGGTCCGGGCGCTGCGAGCAGCGGCGGCCCCGTCCTGCCGGACAATAGCGGGAAGCGCGGCTCGGGCGGCCGCAGCCGGGGCCATTGTTCGGCCGGGCACTTCCCCCGCCCCCTGCAGCACATCCCCGGTGACGGCTTCATGAGCAGCCCGTTTGCTGCCAGGGCCTATTTTGGGGGGCAGGCCACACGTGTTCCTGCCGGGATGCCCAGCCCCAGGTGCTGGCCCCAGACAGTGCTCACAGCTGGGCAGTGAGGAGCGGTGCTGGTGCTGCAGTCTTTGAATCAACCAACCCTTCTCCAGCCTCTGGCCACAGAACTTCCCACATCCTCCAAGTGTTTCCCTCTGTTTCCCTTCCCGTGGTGATCACACTCCATGGCTTCATGGACAGATGGATTGAGACCCTTGGGGCTGAAGGTCCAGGTCCCACTTGCACGATCCCAGCAGAGCTGTCCATGCTCAGGGATGAGCAGGGAACTGATTGGAGGCCCTTGGGCACCTTATCACCCTCACCTAACATACCTGGGGAGAGCCATGTCCAGGGACCCTGGGCATGCCCCACCTCCAGGTCATCTCCAGCCACTTTGGCCTTTCCTCCTCTTCCCATGCCCACTGCTGCCCTTTGTCCCTGACGGAGCAGCTGGCTTGGGATCTGCCACTGATGTCACTTCCTTCCCCAGAGTCGTCATTCCCTCTTGACATCAGTGCTGTGAAGAAGGACCACAGCTTCCTGGACCAGGATTCCCTCAAATCCCTGTGCAGGTAACCCTCTCTTGGCCCCCCTCACATGGAATCAGCAGGGGGATGTGGCACAGACAAGGACAGCGGCCCAGGATGATGGGGTGGTGGGCTCAGGGGGTGCCTGATGTGGAGGTGGGCTTAGTAGGGTGCCTGCCTTGATCTTGGCTGGGCCTGCTCCAGCACTGTCACTCCCTCTGCAGCGAGAACTCAGTTGTTCAGATCAGGGAACATTGCTGGTGTTGGAAACCAACATTGTTGGTTTCCACCTGGGCACGGCGCTGCTGCAGCTGCAGGTTTGGGAGCTGTGCAGGGCTGGAGTGCAGGGAGCAGCGTGGGGGGGACTCAGAGCAAGCCAGAGCTGGCACCACAGCAGGGCACTGACCCATGGTCAGCCTGGATGGGCCGTGTGTCACTCGGTGCTGTGACTCAGCCCTGCCTTGCCTCTCGGACAGGTCATCACAGCCATGTCCCTGTGCTGGCTCCATGCTGTCCCTCCCACCCAGAACAGAGAGGAGGCAGGAACAGGGTCTGTTTCCTATTTGTTTCCCAGCAGAGAGGCTGCTGTGCTGGGCAGGAGGGGATCCCCGTGCCATTTCCTGGGTGCAGTGAGGCAGGAGGTGATGGGAGGTCTCTGCCTGTCCCTCCCTCTCTGAGCTTTCAGGTCCTTTAGTCATTCCCTGGCTGGGGCACAGGAGCTTCTGAGGTGATTTTGCTTTAGTAGCCTGGAGCAGACCACCCCTGCCCACTTGCCACAGCAGCTGGCATGGGCATTGCCTGGCCTGGGCTACCATCTGCTGGCATCGTCCCCTTGTTAGTCAGGTGTCCCTCTGACTGTGGACTCGAAGCAGCAGGTGACAGGCACAGCCAAGGCTCTAAGGCAGGAAAGTCAAAAGAAGCCAAAGCCATTCCTGTGATTGAGGCAGGGGCTGGGGCCAGGGTAAAGCCACTCTGTTTCTTGCAGGAGGCTGATGACCCTGAACACCTGTGCCTCCATGAAGCTGGATGTTCACTTTCAGCGTAAACAGGTAAGTCCTGCATGCTCAAGGCTGGTGAGGGGCTGAGGGGTGCAGGGGATCATGTGCTCGATGTGGGGCAGTGTCCTGGTGAGCTCTGGGACTGTCCTGGGCACAGAGTGGCTTCTGGAGGCCAAAGGGGTCCTGGTTTAGGGGGTGACCATGCTGCTCTCCTCCCCACCTGGGGCCATGCTGGTGCCCCTCTGAGATGGGGGATATGCTGACCCCCAATGGCTCCAACCGATTGATCATCCTCTTTTCTCAACTGCCCACAGAATGAAGACTCTGAGGAGGAAGTCGACTTTGCCATCAGCAGCCGGTGGTCCTACCAGAGGGACAGCAAAAGGTGGTCACGGGTGGGGTCCGCCGATGTCGTGTCCCAGGGCTCGGAGGCCCTGAGCTGCACCATGCACCCGGTGTCCAGCCGGGAGAGCGTCCTCACAGACCTCAGCACCAACCCCGAGGCCACGTCCCTGCACAGCACGGGCAGTGTGGGCAGCGTGGGTGGCACGGGTGGCACGCTGGGCACTGCAGCTGTGCCATCCCAGCCCCTGTCCCCCCTCCGTGCCGCTGCCACCGCCTCCAGCTGCAGCCAGAGCGAGGGCTCTGCCCCGGAGCAGCCCCCGGGCCAGGGAGAGGCCTCTAAGGAGAAGCTGAAGAAGCGACGGTCTCGAAGCTTTCTGAAGAGGATCGAGTCCCTTCGGAGGAAGGACAAGGAGAAGCCCAGCCCAGACAGGAGGGTGGCTCCGCACAGCAGCGCCACTCTCCCGCCAGGATGGGGCTCTCTGAAGGATGATGGGGACCTTGCAGCCACCAGGACCAACGCCTCTAAAAGAGGGACACCTGCCCCTTTCCACAGCAAAAAACACTTCTTCTCGGTATCATACAGGACTAACCGCCTGCTCGGCCCCGGGGGCACCAAGGGCAGCTCTGACCCCAAACGCGGTGGAGTTTATTTGGAGGATTACGACACAGACACAGCCCCTGCCGCCGGCGGTGCTTGGGCTGCTGCCGAGTGCCCGCGCCGGGCTCGCCATGGCGATTGCCTGGTCTATATCCCCTGTGACCACAAGCCCGGCACCTTCCCCAAATCCCTGTCCATCGAGAGCTTGTGTCCCCTGGCCGGCAGCTCCCTGCCGCACTGGGGCGCCGGGAGCGCGGCCGTGGGGCTGGGCGGGGGCGGCAGCAGCAGCAGCGTGGAGGGCTCGTCCTCCCCGAGGGGCTTCGCCCGCCGGCGCCGCGGCTCCTGCAGCTCCCTGGGCAGCCGCGTCAGCGTCTACGACAACGTGCCGGACTTCGGCAGCAGCGAGGATTTCTGCAAGGACGGGGAGGTCAGCTTCAAGAACCTCGACGACATCCTGCATGATGTCGGGGTGCTGCAGAAGAAGGTGGAGCTCTGGTGTAAAGCCGTCTCCCCTGGCCTCGATGGAGAGGAAGGGGGCGACGAAGAGGAGGATGAGGAGGAGTCGGACTCGGGAGGGGAACCCTCCAACCTGCATTTTGAAGAACAGTCCATGTCGGATGTCGGCACCTCTGCCAGTGACTTTGATAGCACTGGGAACTCCCTCAACGAGGCTGAAGAGATCGAGACACGGGAGCGCCGGGATTCGGGGGTAGGAGCATCCCTCACGAGACCCTGCAGGTACCACAGAATCCCGAGGTGGTTTGGGTGGGAAGGGACCATAGAGACCATCTCGTTCTGCCCCTCTGCAATGGGCAGGGACACTTTCCACTAGACCGTATTGCTCCAAACCCTGTCCAGCCTGGCCGTGAACACTCCCAGGGTCGGGGCTGCTGCAGCAGGGAGGGGTGCACAGCCCGTGGGTCTGGGGAGCAGCGGCCGATCCCGTCCTCGGCGGCTGGATGATCGCCGGAAGGCAGGAGCGGGAGGGGAGCGCAGCCGGAGCCGCACGGTGCGGGCAGCGCAGCGCGGGGCGCGGGTGCGCTCTGGTGGCCGCAGGACACCGCTGCCACTGCTGCCAGCACTTGAGCACTGCCACCGCTGCCGGCCCTGTCTGCCTGCACAGACCCGCGATTAAAAGGTTTTTCATTAATTAATAACGAGTGTAAACGCAGCGGGTACGTGCCTCCTCTGTGCCAGTATTCCCTGGGGCTCTCCCCAGCAGAGCTACGGCTGCTGCCGAGCTCTCTGGCTTTGCTCACCCAGTTTGGCTGTGCTGGAGGGTGGTGTGGCAGTAACCATGAAGGAGTGGAGAGCAGTGGGGGTTTCCTCAGCTGGGAATGTCCCTTGTGTCCCCAGAAAGCTGCGTTGGCACAGCTTCCAGAACTCACACCGGCCCAGCCTGAACTCGGCCTCGCTGGAGATCAACCGCCAGTCATCGGCCCAGCTCAACCTGCTCCAGAAGTGCTCCCTGCTCCGGCTCACGGCCATCATGGAGAAGTACTCTGTGCCCCACAAGCAGGCCTGGACGTGGTGAGCTGGGGCGAGGGGGACCAGTATGGGGCCCATGAGCTGCAGCTCATGCTGCGTCCCCAGCCTGGGGCAGCTTCAGGGTGTGGAGGGGGAAAAGCTAAACCAAGGGCTGTCTGCTCTGGCAAGTGCGAGCCAGAGCTGAGCCCCAGGCTCCTGGCATCGCCCTGGCTTCCAGAGGGGCTCCTGGCATCATCTGCTAATGTGGGGGCTGCAGGTGTTGATGGGGCATTAAAAGTGCTGCAGCAACATAAGAGAGTAGGACAGTGGTTTCTTTACATAGCCAAGTATCAAAATTATTTTAGCTTAATAAAAGGTGCTGCCATTCCTGATGGGAAGCTGCCTTGCTTGTATTCCAAATACTGCAGAAATGTGTTTTTGTGTGTGTGTTCCCAGGATCCTGCTCCCTCTGTGAGGGGAGGTGCTGAGGGCAGTGATCATTGCACTGATGTCTCTCTGTCCCACTCTGCAGGACTGTCCCCAAGTTCATGAAGCGGAGTAAAGTCCCTGACTACAGGGACAAGATGGTTTTTGGTGTGCCACCCATCGTCAACGTGCAGCGGACGGGGCAGCCCCTGCCCCAGAGCATCCAGCAGGCCATGCGCTACTTGCGCAGCCAGTGCCTGGACCAGGTGAGGCTGTGGCTGCTGGGATTTGGGGGAAAAAACAGCTTTAGGGGTCCTTTGTTCACCTCTTGTGGTGTGTGCTGAAGCAGGAGGGTGGGATTGGCCATGGGAACCCAGCAACATCCCTGTGGCCATCCCTCACTCAGGGTCTCCTCTGAATTCAGGATGATCCCTTTGGGGAGGGAGTCTTTGCCTGTCCCACAGGTGCCCAGCCAGGCCAGTGCCCGCTGATCCCCGCTCTGCTCTGGCAGGTTGGCATTTTCCGCAAGTCCGGGGTGAAGTCCCGGATCCAGGCGCTCCGGCACATGAACGAGACCAGCCCTGACCACGTGGACTACTCGGGGCAGTCAGCGTACGACGTGGCCGACCTGCTGAAGCAATACTTCCGCGACCTGCCCGAGCCCATCTTCACCAGCAAGCTGACCGACACCTTCCTGCAGATCTACCAGTGTAAGGGCCAGGCTGGGGGCACCTCGGGGAGGAGGGGTCCCTCTGTTTGGATGCAGGGATGGGTGGTGGCCGTGGGGACGCCCCGCTGACGCCGCCCCGTGCCCGCAGTCGTGTCCAAGGAGCAGCGGCTGCAGGCAGTGCAGGCCGCCATCATCCTCATGCCGGACGAAAACAGGGAGGTGCTGCAGACCCTGCTCTACTTCCTGAGCGACATCGCCTCGGCTGAGGAGAACCAGATGACAGCTGGGAACCTGGCTGTGTGCCTGGCCCCCTCCATCTTCCACCTCAATGTGTCCAAGAAGGAAAGCACATCGCCCAGGTAAGGGCTGGCTGAGCCCCAGCTGCCCAGTGCTCCTTCCCTGCCTGCCGTGGGAGGGGGAATGGTGAGACACGGGGGGGCTCTTGGCTCTGCTCTGTGACACAAATGAGGGGGTGCCCACTGGTGCCAGCACTACCTGATCCCCCACAGGGCCATACACAAGAGGGGCACCATGGGGAAGCCGGACCAGAAGGATCTCAATGAGAACATGGCTGCCACGCAGGGGCTCTCCCACATGATCAGCGACTGCAAGAAGCTCTTCCAGGTGGGTGGCAATGGGGTCCCAGCCCAGCGCTGCCCATGGGAGATGCGACCTTGCTGGCAGGTGCTTGTCCTAGAGCAAGCTGAGGGCATCCTTCCCTCAGTGGGACAGCAGCCACCAGCCATTCGCCCTGAAGCCAAGCCCAGCTATGTCCTGGACAGGAGGTGATGCAGGCTGTATGTCCATCCTCCCCACTCCCTGGGGAATGAGTTATTGGTCTCTGTTTGTCCAGAACCACTCACAAAGTCCCCACAAGATCTCTCTGCCTCACTGAACATCCGTGTGCTTTCGACTTGCAGGTCTCCCATGACATCTTGCTGCAGCTGAGCAGCTCCTATATGGCTGCAGATGCTTATCCCCACCCCCTGGCTGACTTGGTGTGCCAGGGGGAGAGCAAGGATTTACACTCCTACTTTGAGCAGAGTGTCCAGAACCTGCTCAAAGAGTCGTCAGAGAAATTCAAAGGATGGCTGAGCACGCCGGGGCCCCTGAACACGGAGCTGTCTTGCAAAAAGGTAAATTTTTGTGGAGGGGCTTGAGAACATATACAGGGAAATGTGTATGGGGTGACCTCTCCAGCAGCCACAGCAGGTCCCACCCCATCCCTCACTAGCCAGCAGATGGGACTGTGGTGCTCTATGGCAGTGGGAGCCATCAGTGAAGCTGCTCAGGGGTTAGCACTGGGGGTCCTGTGGGACAGTCTGTGTGACCCTCCCCTCATCCCCTCAGGTTGGGGACGGGAACCCTCTGCGCCTGTGGAAGGTCTCCACGGATGTCGAGGCCCCTCCTGCCACGGTGCTGCACCGGCTGCTGCGGGAGCGTCACCTGTGGGACGAGGACCTGCTGCAGAGCAGGGTGGTGGAGGCTCTGGACAAGGACATGGAGGTGTACCACTACGTGACAGACAGCATGGCCCCGCACCCGCGCAGGGACTGCATGGTGCTCCGGTGAGGGGGCTTGGGCTCACTGGGGCACATCCCCTCTGTTGTACTGCACCAAACAGTTTATTTAGTTGTTGTTTGCACTGAGTGGTCCTTATATTGCACTGAATAGTTGATGTTATATCACATGGTTTGTTCTTCCCCCATCACATGGTCTTTCTCTCACCCACCCCAGTACCTCCTGGTGGTCTCTTCCTGGGTTACCCCTCCCCTCGCCACTCCTGACTGGTATCCCACTGGTTGTGGTCCTCCTCCTCCTCTGCCCTTCATTTCCCCTCGGTATAAAAGTCTCCCACCATCAGGCCACACCCTCTTTCTCACCTGGGGAGTCACTAGAGCCTGAGGTGTCTCCTAGCAAGTCAACAGAGGACATCCATCCCCACGTAGAAAAGAGTGCTTTCAATCTTTTCCTTTTGTCTATGTAAAACCATGTGGGCTGGGGTCAATAGCTAGCCAGAGTGGACCCAAACAGCCCATTCAGACATGGTCCTACACCCCTCTGCTCCAGCCCCATCTCCTCCTCCTTTCCTGGGCTCTGTGGGGTCCCCACTGTGTGATCCTGCGGCGGGCGGGCAGTGACGGCTGCTGTGTCGCAGGCGCTGGCGCACGGACCTGCCGCGGGGAGCCTGCCTGCTCAGCTCCCTCTCCGTGGAGCACGACAAGGTGCCCGTGGAGGGAGGTGTCAAGGCCATCGTGCTGACGTCCCAGTACCTCATCGAGCCCGGCGCCATGGGCCGCTCCCGGGTCACCCACATCTGCAGGGCTGACCTCAGGTAACGGGACTCTCCGGGGAGGGTGTGGAGCAGGATGTGCTGCTCCATGGTACTGCCAGGGCCTCTCCTGCCCACTCACCCCCTCCTGCCTCTTCTCTTCTCCAGGGGTCGATCTCCTGAGTGGTATAACAGGGTCTTTGGCCACCTCTGTGCCATGGAGCTGGTGAGGATCCGAGACTCTTTCCCAGCCCTGAGTCCCGTCGGCCCCGAGACAAAGATTTGAGGCACCAGGAAGAAGCTCTGTCCTTTCAGACGTGGACTTGCCATTGGATCCGGACTGGGGCTCTCAGCGGGAAGCACGGTGTGGTGCAGTGCCTGTGAAGGGAGACAGAGGCACATATTTATCAACATCCTTTCACCCCGGGCTGGGCAGTCCCGTGCCACAGCCGAGGGGCTGCGGGGCAGGGTGGCCACAGAGGAAAAGCCGTGGCGTCCCACAGGAGAAGTGGGGGAGCAGAGGGAAGGAGTGGCCATGGGGTGACCCCTGAATGCAGCCTGTGGCAGGAGCTGGGGCCCCCACACAAGCCAGGACCAACAGCAGGGCTGAAGGAGCGCAGAGTGAGGTGGGAGGAGCGAGCGGGGAAAGCGGGGCCGTGTCCGCAGGTCGCAGTGCAGGGGTGGGAAGTGGAGGGTGGGCAGTGAGGGGGGGACTGTGTGTGTGGTGTCACCCGGTGGGGACAGCCAGGGAGTCACTGTGTGGTACTGGAAGAGGCTGCTGTTCTAGGAGGAGGGAGCTGCCTATAGATACAGAGGTGCCAGCCCCTGTCGAGGGGCAGATGGAACCTGTTGCAGCATTGGTGCTGAATGCATGGAAGAAGCAGCCCTGTACTCCCATGCCTTGCTCTTCCTTGGCTAAAAGCCCTCTCTTTGCACTGGGTGTCACTGAGAGGAGGGGTGGATAGACCATGTTCCAAGCCAAGGCCATCCTCAACCAGCTGACCTGTTATTTGCATGGGGCAGGACACTGCTGGAGCCCTGGAGCAGCCGTGCCTGGCTGGGAAGGGGCAATGCCTGGAAAGAGGCATCGAGGAGGGGAGAGACTCCCCAGACCAGCTCCCCCTTTGTGCTGCCCTCAGTGTTGAGGGCCATACCTGGAGAGGGAGGAGGGATGGCAGGAGGGGTAGCAGAGGGATTCACTACCCATGCCCATGCCCACCTACTCCCTGCACAGACATCCGTTCCCCTTTCCACCCCTTCCTTCCCTTCATGAAGGAACTGTTCACTGGAGCTATCAGCACCCAGGAGATGACCTGGTTTCTCCATTCAGGCAGGGACCCAAATTCCCAGACGTCGTTCCAACTGGAAGGCAACACGACCCATGAGCTGGGGACCCCCAGTGGCAGTTTGGCCATAACTGTCTGTCTTTTGGCAAAAAGAAAAGCACAAGTCAGCCTCTAGTCTGTGTTTTTATATATATGTATTTTTTATATATATATATATATATATAAAAATACAACTAACATGTGGGGGAGTGAATTTTCTCCTGATATTTTTTTAAAGTGTTTCTTTTTTTTAATCTATAAATACTTGTACAGGTGGAATATTAATATATAACTCTGGTGTCAGAGCTCAGATCAGGTGATGCTCACTTACAGCTGGTATTTTGTATTTAAGGGACTTTTGTTTTGTATTATATGAAAGTGCAGCAGTTGTTTGACTTGGATTGGGGCTGCTCTTCCCATCCATGCAATTAATAAACTACTAACAAGGTCTGCTGGCTGATGAGGAAACCTCCATGTTCAGGGCTTCTCCAGCACTGGAGCAGCCCAGTGCTGAGCAATGCGTGGCCTTGGGGCAGCCCCTGCATGGGTGAAGAGACTCAAACCCGGCATTTTCCACATCCAGCTGTGCTCCAGGGCCTTGCCAGGGTTTGGGGCTCTCCTGGCATTGCCAGCTGCAGCAGGGAGAGCCCTCGAGGAGGAAGATGAGCATCCAGCAGCAGTGCTGCTGATGAAGAAGAATCACATTGTGCTGTTGAAGTCCCTGGAGCAGACACCTCTGGCTGCTGTTCTGGAGTAGTGATGGGAATGGGGTGGAACATGCTGGAGTAGATGAAGATGATGGTGATGAAGGCTGCAAGATTAAAGCCTGGAGAGGAAGGAGTCCCTCTCTGAGCTTGGGATTGGAAGCAGCCGGACTGCTCTGGCTTTTAGCACTAATGGGCAGGAGTATTGGGGCAGCCCTGGCTCATCCCAGATCCACCCATGGCCAGGGCTCCAGCACTGGGATGGAGAGGGTTCCCTCCCCACCCTGGGATGGAGGCCAAGCTGGCATCTCTTCTTTCAGGGTCCCAGCAGGCTGGCAGCACTCCACAGAGCCACCCAGGCACCCACTGCTGGAGGGGTGAGCTCTCAGGGACCCCCACTCCCACAGGGACCCCTGTCCTGCCTCCCATCGTCCCCATCCCCGGGTCCCAAGTCCCCAGCACATTGAATGAAGAGGTTCCCCACCCTCTGCATGATGCTGTGGTGGGTGCAAACACTGAATAACACCCCAAAGCTCCCCAAAGCTGGCTGGAGCCATCCCAGGGCTTGTGGGCTTACCCCAGCCATGCTCCCAAGTCCAACTCCCCTCACCACCATCAGCTGATCAGTCCAAAACTGCTTTCCTCCAACGCCTGCTTTGCAGACACTAACATGTAAAATCAATTTCTTCCTGAAATCCTCCAAGTTTCATTAACAGAGATTTATGTTTTCTCCATGCACATTATTACAGATTAATCTTTTCAAACCTTATAAAAGCCAATTCCTACAACTTAACAAACCCCTGCATTGGGAAATGATTGCAGAGCAGCAATGCCAGGCTCAGTTTGGCTTAATTAGAGATAAAAGGAGAGGAAATCATTCCTTATTAGCCAGTCAGGTAGAAGCTGTACTGTATTTAGAGTGCAAACAGCCCAATTACAGGGAGGAACATGCACAGTTGTCTTTCATTACAGGTACTTGAAAATATGCATCTGGGGAAAATTAATAATGATTCTGAGAAGCTGCAGCCATCCCAGCTGGCTGTGTGGGCCATCCCCAGCACAGGAGTGGTGCTTGTCCAGCCTGACCATCTGCCCATCCCTGGGATCTTTGGGCTGTTACCTCAGCCCTGGCAGAAGGGTTTAAAGGCTCAACCACAGCTCTCAGTGCTCAGGTAGCACCTGGTGCTGGAGTCTACCTGCCTCACCCCCCACCTACCCAGCACCTACCTTCCCGCCACCCCCACCTGCCCTTCTCAAATTCACCTCACTCTGTGCCAGGACAGGGCCCCCGTGGCTCTGCAGCTTCTCTGTCTCCATGAGCAGAATGTTCCCCTTGCCCTAAATCAGCCCCAGCCAGGAGACACCCTCTTGTCCCAGGGGATTTAAGCAGTATCTTCATGCTGGGGGGCTGCCAGTGGGCTGGAATAACTTTCTCAGGGGATAGGAGTGAGGTGGTTTCTCTTCCTGCACTCAGATTGGGCTTTTTAACCCCAGGCAGCAGCTCAGCACCACAGCCACTCACTCCCACCACCCCCCATGTGGGGATGACAATGGGAAAGAAAAGGGAAACTGTGGGTTGAGATAAGAACAGCTTAGCAATTAATATAAAAAAATTATAATGTTAATGAAGAGAGAGAAATAAAACCAGGAGAAACAAGTGATGCCCAGTCCAGTCACCCTCCCCCTGCTGTCACAGCATCTTTACACTCTGGCTGTGTTTCTCAACATGAGTTTTGTTAGTGGTCCAAGAATTTCCCACCCTTTGGCAGCAGTCCTGGTCCAGCTCCTGGGACTGCATCTCCTCCCAAGCCTGGGGTGATGTAGGGCAGTTGGACACCTCCCACCACGGGTTCAGCCTCTGGGTCGTGCAGCCCAGCAAATATTACAAAGCAGACCCTGAGGGGCTTGGGGGAGGCTTGTGCAACCTCATGGCACAGATTTATATCCTGGGATTGCAAAGGTGTGACCTCCATGGCAGAGCTCTGCAGTCATGTCCCAGGCAATGCAGCACAGCCATGCAGGCCCCTTCCCACCAGGATAACTTTGTGTTTGAGCAAACCAAGCCAGCTTTTCCTCTTGCTTTGTTTGCCACTGGGATGAGCCCTCAGTTCTCACTCAGGCCTGGCTTCCCTGGAGCTTTTTCCCATCTCTGGATGAAGACCACACCACTTTCCCTGCCTGGCAGTCACACAAACAGGCACTCTGATTTCAGCATTCCTGCAGAACAGACATTGTCTGGTCATGGACAAGATGGGAATTCAGGCATCCTCCCTGCCTGACTCCACTGACAGAGATTTGGGACAAAATCATTCATCTTTACATTAAAAAAAAAATGTCTGTGAACCTGTGCAGTGCTCCTGGCCCTGCCAGCACTGCAGTGGCACCCTGACAGACACAGCTCCTGTTGGGATCACACACTGAGCCTGGAGAAGGGCCTGCCATGAGTCCTGTGGGATGGTGAGTGGTCCCAGCAGGAATCCCAAGGGATCAGCCCACTTCAGAACACAGATTGTGGATCTGCAGCTCCCAGCCCAAGGCACCTCACTGGGCTCTGCATTCCTTTTCTGTCCTCAGTCAGAAAAGAGATGGAAGTGGGCAAATGGGAGATAACACTGCTTTAACTGGGACTTTGAAAGTTTAAAAAGCAACACAGGCAGAGTCATGCTGGAAACAGATTGCACAAATCTGACTAGATCCTGAAGGTAAGTGAGGTCAGACAGTCCTGGTGGCAAGGGGAAGACCCAGGTGCTGAAGGAAGCAGGAGACCAAGTCTTTCTTAGAAGCAGGGATGGTTTAGTGGCACAGCTACAAAACAGGATGGAAGGATATTTGGGCAAGGTGCTCAGAGGATGCTCCAGCTGTCCTTTTAGTGACAGTCACTGTGCCAGTCCCATGGTTTTTAGCTGGAATGAGGACACCCTGCAGATCCCTTGTTGTGGTTGCAGAGGTCAGGAGGGGATCCCATCCTCCCCCAGCTGGTCCATCCTCAGTGCTGCTGCAGCCAGAGCTGGGGCAGCATCGAGGCACTCCCAGGGCACATCCATGGTAACAACAGACTGATCCTGCTCCCAAGTGCTGATCGTTCTCATGACATCCTGTTTCTGCTGGGGGCTATGAGAGGCTTTCTAGGGCAGGAGCACATCACATCAGCTGCTGCAGTTGTGTGCTGTGGTTCAGCTGGCAGGTGAGTGGCTCCTGCTGCCCTGCCCTGCTCTCACTGCTCCCTCAGTGCCTCTAGAAAAGGCAGTTCCACCCTGGGTGTTTTCCCTGCCTCTGCAGCCCTGCCAGGAGCTGGTGGCATTTCATGTTTCTTCCCAAACTATGCGGGATTTTTACTGTCTCTCATCAAACTCCTGTTTGTCACCGGCTGTGAGTTTATCACACTTGTTATTTTATCAAGATAACAAAAACCTACCCAACCAAACAACCCCACCCCAACAGCATCATGATCTCTGATTCCAACTGAGATACCTCCATAAAGATATCTCCCTTCCTGGAAAACCTGCTTTTCCCAGAAACTTCCCCAGCATCCCAGCCCCAACTCCAGATGCAGAAGCACCGTTTGCAATAATAATCAAACCTTTAGCAAACATCATTAGTAACAGCTTGC